GAAACCTGAGATTCAGCTGTGCTGAGTCCTTTCCCACCTAACAGGCCATAACTGCTGTTGTCAGTACAGGTGCCTGGTGCCGCCTACAGCAGGTGCTAATGTTATTTACATAAATCAGTGCAATGAATTACTGCTGGTGGTGTAAGAATTTAGAAATGGCTCACAAAAGAACACCTCACTCTGACCTATGCAACGGAATAACCAAACCAGTATTTTACAACTTATATTGCCCATTCAGAACTGGGGTTTTTTTCAGCAATTCCGAACAATCCAAATAAACTCCACAGCAACTGTGCATGCTGAGCACTGCTGAAAATCTGCACCTACAAACTGAATATAGAGTGGTTTGCAGGGCAGAACTGGACTTAGAACTATATTTTTTGTTGTTGCTAAAATAAAATAGCATTGTAATGCTGTGAAAATTCTACTGGATCCATTTTTTAAAAGTACACTTTAATTTCATTAGGGGAGAGCATAACAGTACAGCCATTAGTGATAGACACTTAGTGTATTGTATTCCAAACAGGAAACAAGTAATTCAATACACAGCTAATAGAATAAGGGAAGACAGATACTTCTGAGTAATTTATCAGGTAAGTTACAGATCATTTTGTCAGGAAGAAAAGCATCAAGATTATAATCTATTTCTATGATATGCATACTAGATTATTTATGTAAATTACCTATTAATGCATTTCTCTATTGTATCAGAGAAGATTCCTTTTTCCAACTATTTTTCTTCTAAACTCTACTCACTTCTGATTTTGTTTTCCTACAGAAAATGATTAATATTCATTCAATAGAAATGCTCATTGAATAAAAGGACAGAGGGATCCTTGAGGGAAACACTGGGCAAACTGAGGACAATGCAGAGGATGGGGTGTTTGAGGACTTCACATTCCAATGGTCTAATGGTTGCCAAAGGTTTTGGAGGCATTTCTTCTGCCTTAGAGCCTACATCACTAATTTTCTCATTGTTGCCACCCTATTCTTCTTGCCTGTTTATATACATCTGGTTTTCCTTGTCTTGTGTTTAAATCATAATCTCTTTGTGACAGCAGATTGTTGCTTTTTTCCTGCCTGTGCAGTGCCTAGCGCAGTGGAATTGTGGCCCATGAGCTTGTAAGCCCCAAGGTAATGCAAACAAGGGATGACATTGGTATTAATGCACTACACCATACTGCTTTTTCAAAAAAACATAAATATGAATTTCTCCTGCATGCTCACAAGAGATAGTGTAAAAAACGGGAGGGAAAAGAGCTGGCTACAGCTTAAAGTCGAGCAGGATTTAGGGCTGTAGAGAAAAAGCAGTCAGTCTTCCTGCCCTCCTCTATCCCACCTTCCCTACTGTCCCAACTCCACCTCAGTTTTGCCAGTATTGTATGAAGAAATCTCAGGAAGACTTTCTGACTCAACCCACTTGTCTAACCATGTGTAACACTTTGCTTCTTGTAAATTCATGTGGCTTCCTCAGACAGACCCCATGAGCAGACCTGCCTTTCAGAAAACCCCTAGACCCTTCTCCGATGGTTTGGAATGTGATATATTTTTCATTACTGAGACAATGGGGCTATGTACACGAGCACAGAAAGCTGCCAAGCAAAAATGGTGTGCTGTTAATAAGGTCACAGCTACATCTCCTGGCAGGGGTTCCTGACTCCTTGAAAATAAGAAAAAACCCCAACCCTTATATGTCTTCTCATCCTTTGTATCATAAGCCTCAGAGAGATCGCAAATTGGGGTGAGAGGGTCACTCCACTGCTGGATGGGAATAGGCAGAAGCTCCATTTATCACCAAAGCACAAAGTTCCTGCTATCACAGCAGGGATGGCAGAGGCAAGTGCAGGTTCCGTCCCTGCCAGCCAGGGTCAGCTGAAAAGCTCAGGTCTCCCCTTAGAGCTGGAGAGACAATCAGGAGATCTTTGGCAGAGTCACAAGCTCAGTAAACGCAGACCTCATTCTTTGGGGAGAGATCTTAGCTTTCCTTCCTTCACAGAGACATCTCCCGTAACCAAATACCTTAAGCTGGTATTGATTTATCTCTTCTCATCCTTTCATTGATTGCCTAGAGGAGCACATGCTCGCTGTGGAAAGGAGGTATAATTCTCATTTTACAGACTGCAAACAAAGGCAGAGAAAAGGTCAGTGGTAACTAAGATAAGAGGAGTCTTTCTTCCCACAAATCTAACACCTGGAGCAGGCTGGGATCCTCCAGTTAGCCCAGTTCACCACTTCAGCCTGAGAGCATGTCCAGTGATTCCAAAAATGAGGCCAATAAGTGTCCAAACTTAGCAGCAGAGACAATGAAATTATAAACTCTCTAAACTGCACCAAGGGCCACATGTTCCCTTGCCTCAAATGCACCGTATCACAGAGTTGGTTATGACAAAGAACGCTGCTTGGGAAATGTGCAGTTAACGTGATGTTGCACAGCATACGGAGTAGCGTGGTGAAAGAAAAGACATTTGACAAAAAAAGGTGAGACAGTGCTGTACTACAATACACTATTTCATACTTTGTTAGTCTCCCTTTTCTGACTAGTGGGGGGACCTTAAATATTCTAGCAGGTGCAGGATCAGTGATGTAAACAATTTTTTAAAATTAGAACATGTTTTTCTACAGAAATGTCAGGTTTAACTCTTTGAATGCCTGGTTACTGTCAGTCTTGCTAGACTTCTGTGCGTTTCCTACTTCATCTTCTCCCTTCCCTGCCCCCGCAATGGTTATCAGATGGACTCCCCACTAGTAAAATCCACAAGAGAGAAAGAATGGATAACCCTGGATTTTGGCAGTACCCCTGAGAGAAGCCTGATGAGGAAAGAAATTGGAAGAGCTTGTGAGGAAAGGAAATAGTTTAGTTTGCTACAAATGAGTGCACTGTTTCTGCTCGCTTCTTTCCAATACATAATCAGGCTCACTCACAACATTAAACAGAGAGCAATAATTACGTTATCCAGTTGTGCTTCCCTAGGGTCACTATAGAATAATGTGCGCATTGTCATTCAGCACAGAATGAGGCTTCTTGTTTCTCTATAGATACCATCTTCCTTATTCAAGAGATTTATCATTATTAATTGTCATCTGATTGCATTTGTACTCTTAGAAAACCACATGGGTTTTATTTTTTGACAGACATGAGGGAGCTTCTCTAAAGCATCATTTAGAATAACAGGCTCTTAGATCTCCATGGTTTTGTTCTCTTTCATTTGAAGCAGAATCTCAGACCTCATAGTACAAAGATGTGTCACAGATTTTCCTGGCTCTGTTTTTTAGACAAGTCAAACTGGAAATGTTTATAGGACTGTGACTCATGTTTTCCTTTTATAATATACTTTTTTACTTTTTGGCCATTCTGTATTAGCATGGGACTGTCAGGATCCTTTCTAATGGCTCTGTGGTTTAGTCCTGGTGGCTTGTTTCCCACAGAGGAGAAAGAAGACCTACCATTAAGCATCTCACCACCATGGGCTTTTCATCACACAACCCACATCTCTGCATGGCCAACTTGCAACTCCATTGCTCCTGAGTAACTCCTGCAACATCACAATCTCCCTTTCCTTGGGAACCTGCAGAAATGTCCCTCCAAAAATTAGCCTAATATAGATATCAAAGTTTATTCATAAAAGGCTTCTCCTCACTCTAGGAAATAATCAGGCTTGGTACTGACTTGAAGAGCTTGGCTTGTGTTCTGTTGCTTAAGCAGAATCTCTGGCAAGTTGCACAAATAAATCTAAAGTCAGTGGCTAAAAAAATTGACTATATGCCAACAGGAAGAGCAAGAGCTTGGGAAGTTCCTGATGATCTCACCCTGGAAACATGAATCCAGGCTATGGGGGATCTCTGACAACTGATATCTAACAGTTAAAGACAGCAACACGTGAAGCAACATTATATTACTTGAAATAACAGTCCACAAGAGTGGTCCTAAAAGATTCTTGTAGCAATTCCTTAGAGTGAAGCAAAGAAAGAGTTAATAATAGTAATGACCATGAGGTTCTGTGGGAATATTTTTCTTGGCAACGCCTGTAGAACCAGTTATTTTCCTTATCTGTAAATACTTTCTCAGACTGTATCAAATGAGAAAGTCGCTGGCTAGGGGTTGGGAGGGGATTCAATGACTCAGCAGAAGACTATGTTTGTTCTGCCACAAAGGCCTTTCATTCTGATCTGTCTGAGTGCCAGCTTTGTAAACCAGACAATTACTTCTTTCTAGATCACAAAAACATTGAGTTAATTACACAGGAAACTAGTAACGATGACATGAAATCAATTTACACGTAATAATCAGTTGATTCTTATTATCCCTAAAAAATTCAGATGTTATAAGCAGGTAAAAAATTCCTTTTACACTTCGATCTTAAAAATAGACTACTGGGCTTAAACCTTTTTTTAAGGTAATAATCAAGCTTTGCCCCTGACTGTTGTGTCCATCAAAACAGCTAACATCCAGTACCTTCTTGCTATGATCCCCATTTATGTTATTGCCAGCTAACCAGATTGATCCCCAAAATCAGTAGACATCAGCACAGTGGTGTCTGGGGGAGAACCCCAACCTTAACTGACCTTAACACTTTAGTTTTTAAAAAGGTGTGAGATGAACTGCAAGGAAATGGAAATTGAGGAAATAGATGGAAAGGAGGCATCTTTAGCACACCACCAACCTTTGACTACAGAAGAATGAGAGTTCTCAGGTATTGCTAGTTTTCCTCCAAATGAGAGGCCTTTGGGTGCTGCTAAGCCTTCAGTCACCCCAAAACTGTCTATGCCTTCAGAGAGGCAAGAAAAGGTTGGCAAAGAATAAAAGGAATCAGTTCAGAACCAAGGCTGGAATGCAGGGATCCCATAAGCCTAGTATTTAGCTTAGTTCTGTCAATTTTTACAAAATCAGAAACATTCTTCTGCTTCCAGCATCCCTAGTGAGTAAGACCGTAACTGCTCTTCACCAAAGGAAATTACTTACCAGCAGATTCTTGGGGTTATGAGTCTGATAATGCTCTTACCTAAGGTCTCTCTGAAAGATGCTTTCCATCCCCGGTCCTCCCCAAAGAAGTCAGTGTTAAACATGAGGAACAAGTTATTACTGGAGCTCTTAATATTCGGAGGCAGTTCTGAGCCGCAGAATTTCCCGAGGAGAGGAGCATGAGTGTCTGAGCCATCATATACAGCCACATAATCTTTGTAGCAGGAGGGAGATATTTCAAGCTGGAAGCTGTTGAATCTGTAAAATACACTTGGAGCTTTAGGTATCACGTTTTCATTTCTGTTCTTGTGTTATGTGTGTTTTTAGTGCTTGAGGAAAAAAGTGATAGCAATATCCAAGTGATAGCAATAGCCAAGGCCATACACAGACAGATACCACAAAACATTTCTCTTCAGGAACAAGTAAGCAGAACTATTAACTGCATGGCAAAACACTCCAGCCAACCAGCCTCAAAGAAATAGTGACCATCACCCACTGGGCCTCTTGGAAGGCAAGCTGTCAGCACACCTCGGCTTTCTGTGAAGAAGCAGATCTCCCCTGTGCAAACATACCCCCTCTCTCACTTCTGCAAATTGCTCAGCCTGCAATTGCCTTGGGCATGTGAAGGCCATTTAAAGTGCAGGCTCAGAGTGCAGCCCAGCTAGGTCTTCCACTTAGTTGCGAAATGTTCTCTTAATTGACAATCAGCATATATATGACAGAAGAATGTATCTTCTAATATCTCAGTGGCAAGATTTTGTGGCTGCCATATCCCTTTTTTAGGCAGGACAGCACACACTCAGAAGTATACTCTTTCTGGGTGGGTATTATTACTTGGTCTGTAAAGTGAGTACCAGCCTTCTAAAATAATTTTTTTTTTCTTATATCAAATCACAGGAGTCTTATAACTCCTCAAAGGCTGACAGAATTTAACTAAAATCATGAGCTGCATTTTTTACAATTTCTTAGCCCTCTTGCTGACCAAAGTGGGAAGTTACAATTGTGGTCATGTTTTGCACATAAGTTAGAGAAAGATGTAAGGGGGCCTGAAGTTGATAAATGGGGCTTCAGTAGCCATTTCTCATTTTAGTTCAGCTTTCCACTTGGAAAAGGAAAGATAAAGAGAAAATTGTCAATAATAGCTGTCTTTAATTGGAATCAGAGACCTCCCTGCCCCCTTGATGACAAGCTGAACTTGGGTTACATACTTGAGGGCCACTACTTTGCCATTTCCAACAGTGATGTAGTACGAGCAGTTCATGTTGTTGTGATAATCAAGAACTGAATGGGCCGGACTGCTGATAACACCAACAGAGCCATTGAAATTGCCACCACAAGCTGTAGGGGAAACAGACAAAAAAAGGTATTACTGTCTGAACACCAGCTTGGTTCTAATTGTCATATTTCTTGCAGGAGCTCGAGTTAGTCCTCTTTTAGCCATAAGGAAAGAATGGCCCTTGATAAATTAGGAGCAGTCTTCACTGTCATGCCCAGGACTGGTTAAATGCAGAGATGCCTATCAAGTTGTGCTCTGCCGTGTAAGACCACAGTCAAGTATCAAAGTAACAAGTTGTTACAAGTCCATACCAAATGGCAATGGCTCCCCATTTTTACAGTAAAAGATTGAGCCTGATTTCAAGTGTGCTGCAGTAGGACCAGGGAGCAGCAGGATGGGGAGGGTGCCCTGTGTAGCGGGGTGTCAGAGGTATCTGGAGGAGCTCTGTACCCATTCTAGCTTGCCAAGAGAAACCTGGCTGATATGTGGGCAAAGAAATTCCCTCATCCAAATCCTGGCCTCTGAAAGTTTGGCACTGACACAAAAGCAGCCATAATTGCATGCGTAGCCCTGCCCCTGACTTTTCTGGAGTAACTGTACACAGAGCCTCATCATCCCTCCGCCTCCTGTCAGGGCTGGGGTATTACTGTAGCATTTGTTCTGTGCAGAAAGAGAGAGAGGAGTCCCCAGGTGTCACTAACCCCGGGGACTGTTCCCCCCCCCACCTTGTGCTGGGACTCACCAGCAGTGGGGGGTGGCTGAGATGGAGGACTGCATACTTGCTCTCCAGCTGAGTGAACTAAAGGCACTGCTTGGCTTCTCAGGGTTTCACACCATGGATGCTGATGAGGCCAGGATGTGGCTAATGTTTGTTCCCAGCTTCAGTGCTTGAAGGAACAAAAACTATTATAAAACCAACTCTAATCTCCATTGTTAGCTGCAGCCTTTATTTTATAATGTTAACTTGGCAAAAAATGTTTCCCTGTGTCCTGTTGATAAATAGCTTAAAGCCACACACAGCTTTTCAAGTTTTAAAGGACATGCCATTGCCCAAGCCGCGACCTTAACAAAGGCACTCCCATCCAGGGCTGCTGCTGCATCCAGAGCCCCTGGCTCCTCAGCCGCTCAGGCTGGTGGCCTGGAGCACTGGCAGATAAAGGACAGGAGCCGGGAGGATAAAGAATCAGCATTATTCTACACTAGGAGGGGGAAGCCTTTTTCATTTTTTTTTTTTTTCAGCAAACAATACAACTAGAGAGAAGAGGAATGTTAATTGCTAGAATCTGCTTTGTATACAACAACAAGCTAATAAGGCTGCAGTCATGTTTCTCAAATGTCAGAAGTCACAAGTCAGCAGCAACTGACTTGAGTGAGTTATGAAGGTCTCTTCATGAGTAACTGCACACTGTCATTTCTCAGTGCCCTCTGTCTTATCTGTATCAGGCCATTCATTTTATATAAAGAATTTAGCCTTATGCTTTTTTGGTGTGGCTTTGAACATGAGGAATGCATTAAGGGAAATACCAAAGTTAAGAACTCACACTTTTCTCTGCAGTTAGAAAATGAAATAATAGCTTTCAAAAATCAAAGTACTGTCTCTACAAGTTAAACCTAGAATATATCAAAATTGGTTTTGAAAATAAAATTAATCTTTTGGGATATTTATATTTGTGCAGATGCCAATTCTAAATGCTAAAGTTGGAAACTTTTTTCTAATACAAATTTCCTCTTTAAAATAAAAGAGATATCATGTGAATGACAAAGTTTTGGTGAAAATGTTCATTAAAAAATAAAAATATACCTAGATCCCAATTTTTATTTACATTAATACCTGGCACTACAAGAGGGTCATCAAATGGAGGCATATATCTGGGTCTATTTGAAGATCCTGTTCTGGTTCCCATGTTGTATAGTGTAGTTTTAATATAACAGAATCAGACCATTCTCCTGTATGTGATAAAATCTTTTAAATGAACTCAGTTAAATAAACTGGTGATGTTTCTCCTTAAACAGTGTAAAAAACCAAAACCCAAAACCCCCAAAAACCAAACACCTGCCAAAATGGGTTGCATTTCTTTTCTACAGCAAAGAAAAAGTGTTTCAGTTCCTGACTGGTCCCATGTAGTGTCTTGAAATGGGAATTGTGAGATAGCACCTCCATCAGTGACAACATGCACCAAACAGTCCCACGTCCTGGTCATGAGAGCTCTTTTGGGCAAGTGCAGAGGGAATATGAACCATCTACATCCATCTAAGGTATTCCCAACATAAGGTACAACATTTCCTACACTGAACCATTATCGAGCTGGAATGTTTCCCCCACCTAAAGCCCAGGACAGTGGCTACTCACCAATTGCTCTGTATCTTGCCTGGAATCCAAAGCCTGCAATGTGAGAGTCAGTGTAGAAGTTGAGCAGCATAGGTCCAAAGACGCTGACTGGGGCAGGGAGTTCATTACCACAGAGTGTGATGAGAGGATGTGGGGTAACCCTGGTCCCACTGTAGATGCTTACTCCATCATAAAGACAAATTCTGCTCAAGAGTGCTGGGGCTGCATGGACATATAATGGAGAAGTGTTAGCAGCTTATTTTCCATATGATTTACTGAGCTGCAAGTATATAGACCTCACACAGGATAAAAATTAAATTTTACATTACATTCCATTCCAGGATCTTGGTATCTCATTTGCTTGCTGAAGAAGCAAATGTCAATTTTTAACATGCAGAAAAACTGAGGTAGAATAAGGCAGAGAGACCTTGTATATAAGACCTCAGACTGATCTCACTGAACACATCCTATCATTGTACGGAAAAGGCTCCAGGCCCCTAGAGTTCTGGGGAGTTCATAGTTGAGTGAACACCATTTATGAGGAGATGAGAGGACCTTACAAAAGCATAGATCTCCTCTGCAGATCAAAGCAATGCACCTTCTGTTACAGGCAACCAACTACCTGGTATTTCTTTCCCTTAATGTAGAAGTCAGCACTCAGTGCAGGTAATTCTAAATCATTAAGAGTGAGAATTTGGGAAAATGAATAAATAGTCCATACACTGACATGTTTCAGAACTGACTTCTTTCTCTCCCTCAAACTTTGGAGTAACAAAATCCAGATTCTTCAGCTTGACTCAGAAGACAAAAAAAATGTAAATTTAAACTTGCAGTTTGCCAGTGAAATGCTGTGACAGCGGCAGTCAGTGGAGATTTGGAGATGACTGAGCAATAGGAAAAGAAACGATTTTTAGGAGCAATGTGCTTTAGGGGGCAAATCGGTACAGATATTAGGGTGAGTGAAAAGCTGCCCATTCAGCAGCACTGAGAAACATAGAAATGGGGAATGTAGCATTCTACATTTTTTCCTCCCATTGTTTTTCAGTTTCTCATTTGCAGTTAGTTTTCTGGAGGACTGAGCCATCCTCTCTGACTCCATACCCTACCTTCCTGACTTTCTAGCCACCTCACCATTTGCAGCCAGATCCGACTGAAATGAGAGATCTCAAATGACTTAAGTTCATCTAAGTTTCATGAAGGTCAGTGGCTGAGTTGGAGTGCCAGAGGAATGTCCCCAGAGAAGGGCAAGCTGTGTTTTCAGCACAAGGGCTGTGAGTTTGGGCAGAGATCTGCCGAGCACCCTGGGAGCTCAGAGCCAGCTGGGAGCCACAGGCATGGGGAGAAGTTAGTGGTACCCAGGGTGGTACCAGCAAGGGATGTATGGTGAGAACAAGAGTGGTTGGGTATCTTGTGTGAGCAAGAGGGAGCCACAAGGAAGCTGGATTAATGCTGTCAGTGAAAAACACAGTGCATATCTACCGAAAACCAAGCTTGATTAGTTGTTAGGCTTATAGAACAACTTGGTGTTTTCTTTGTCTTTTTCTTCATCATTTACAAGCATAATGGAAGCTGGGGTGTCACATATTTATTGAGGTTAAGTTATCATGCTTAGCAATCTGTTAGCAGCAATGGGGCAGTTACTTAAACTGCAAAGGATTAATTAGGAATTTTCTAAATTTAACAGGAGAGACACTGAGCCTCGGATTGCAGAAGAGTGATTCCTGCAGACTGTCCAGTCAAAACAACCTGCTTCCTAGTGTTGTAGGAAACAGGATGACTCGTATTGAACAGGATGACAAATAGGAATGGAGGGTAATTCTGTTACACAAGAACAACAGAGTCTTCCCAGCGGGCAGGTATATTTTAGAACCTCTGGAGTTTTAATTTAAAAATTCTTTCTCTCTAATGAAGACAATGTATTCTAATAAGTTTTAAAATTATGCTGATAGGGAAATACGGTACAAGTCTGACTTTAATAAGAGTAACTAAGCGGAAAACAATCAGCCACATCAGATAACTGATTACACTGTTAATTATAAAATAATTAATAAAAATAGTCTTCATGTCCTGCTCTATTATGAGAATACTTGATAATGTGATATAATTAAAAAACATAATCAATTTTAAAATACAAAGAAATAATAATAAAAAAAACCCAAACAGAGACAAGGGCAATTTTAGAATTGAAAAGAATTGAGGAAGCAACTCAGGTCCCTTTCTGGAAACACTTTGGAGAAAGGGATGAAGTGAAATGGACTTCTCAGCAAAGAAAGGTCCACAGTACCTGTCACAAGTGGTTTTGAACTGCTGCACTGGAAAGAATAAGATGGTTGACATAGGATTGTGAGCAAAAGGCTTAATTTCTAGTTTTGAAACTGATGATTGTTTGATCTCTGTCCTGTAACTCATCACTTGTTTACACTGTTCCTTAATTTCTCATCATACTAAAATACATTATTCCGTAAATAATCCCCAGCCTCAGATTCCTCTATGCTATCTCCTCATGTCATACTTCCAGCCTCTACACATACTCAGCACATCGTCAGCAATTCTTCTCTGTAGTTTATTTCCTCTAATTCTATCATCTTTGATCTTTTCTAGACCAATTTCTGTCCCTTGCACTACAATGGAACAGCTTTCATGAGTCTCCTGAGATCTTTTCTTAGCCAGATGTCAGACCCACATCCTCTTTGAGCTGACAGGCACTTTCCACATAGCTAGCACTGTTTTTCTTCATAAAACTTCTCTCTGAGAGCTTTTGCTTATCCTTCTGGTATTACTGTATTCTCCCTTCTGATTCATCCCTGAGGATTCAATGAGCTATCTCCTCTCTTGTCTTTCTCTCTTTATCTCCACATTAGCTCTGTGTAATCTCATTTGCAAGGACATATGCAACTACTGTTTCTATGCTGATGACCCCATACGCCTACTTCCCTCCTCCAGGCCTCTTTCTGTTCAGACTAAAATCTTATTTCTGTGTCTCAACAAAATCATTCAATAGGAGAGCTTTCCCCCTCCCTCAAGTCTTCCCATGCTGCTTCTTTCTTTGCATCCTCATTATTTTGTCTGCCCTCATTAGGTAATTATTTGGATATATCTATCCAGGCTAGATATAAATATTGTCAAGTGATTCCAGTGATTATCTTTAAGATAAACTCAGTTCTATCCTTCCACATACCTGTCACTCTCACCCAAAAAATAATTTTTCCAACGTGGATACTGTACCATTCGTTCCTCTAGCCTCGACAGTATTTCTTCCAAATACCACTGGAGAGATCAATTATTTGGCCTGACGTTATGAACATAGCCCTCTTTCTTCGAATTGCTGCGTGTATTTGCTTTCAAGGCCTTTTGTTATCTATCGGCACTCTATTTATCATCTCTGTACCGCTCAGCATTGATACATTGACTCCTGCTTCCAAAGTTCACGTGATAAGAGCTTCAGTTGTCCTTACATTACATTTTGAATATGCCTTTGGGTTGTCTCCTTTCCATTTAGCAGAAATTTCTGTCTCGTCTTATTATTCTCCATAAAGTTATTTATTTGATATGATGCCTGCACGAAAACTTTGACTGAATTTGGGTCCCTAGCTATCTGATCACTAACAACCATGTCCTCTTTCCATCTCTCTGTCTATAGCCATAGATTCTGATTCATTTTGTATTGAGGCAGAACCTGTTATTTTGTTTAAAGTTTGTAAAACTTAATGAGTGTTTGGTTCACACTTGTTGCTTCAGGTGTAAACAGTAATACAATTAGTAATTATGAATGTAGGAAAAGTATTACACAGATATATACTCCTGTGCAATATATTAACCAGTTCCATAGCACAAGAGACTATTCTGAAAGGAAGGAATTACAAGTCTTTCATATATATATATCTTTCAAAATAATCTATTGCAAAAATTGTCTATTTTCTGAATTGCCTAGTAACAACTGAATTCAGACTTCATTACATGTTATATTCATACTGGAAGAGTATTGCAGCAATTTAATAACACACTACTCTAGCTGTCCTAGAGGTGTATTTTAGGGATGTTCATCTGAATAAATCTTATGAACAAAAGGTGGATATGGTTAATTATTTCTTAGATAGCAGGTCTACTAAGTATAGATAGACAGATAAGGTTTTTTGGCTAATTCGAGTAAGTTAGATTTCTCTTGACCTTTGATCCAAGGAGGGAGGTGAGATGGCAGATGACATTTATCACTGTCACAGAAGTGGGGCTGAAAAAACAAAGTCACCTCCATTTGTTTGGTTCTTTATAATAACCAAACACAATAATGTAGGTGGTACTACAAGAAGCAGACAACAACCTACGCAGCTTCATGAAACAGGCAAATCAGAAGAGAGGTTCTGTAACCATACTCAGTTTGGGACAGAAAGAGACATTCCTTGGGCTGCAAGGAAATTACAGAGACTAAGCCAAACTCTGTTCATATGCTTAATCTTGCCTATGTTTTGCTGCCTATGTCTTAAGTATCTTGTGTAAGCTATTGTCTATGGCTTCCTGTAATAGTTAATGGGTAATGAGATTGAGAGAGGCCTTCAGAAGGCAAGTCATTCCACCTGTACTACACATACGCTTTTGAGTTTAAAGCACTATCTTTTTCACTTTACTGTATGAGGAGATAAGTCTAGATGATAAATCAATTTATTTCCAGGGGCTCAAAGTCAGATAAAACCAATTTTTCTACCTACAAGGAAGCAGCCAATTTAGATTAAATTTTGATCACAAAATCAACAAATGGAGTTTCCTCCAGTTCTCTCTTGCTCTGTTACTTGCTATATTTAGTGCTTAATACATATTTAATATATAGTACATGCATGTCATGTTCGTTTGGTTCCAGATACTGACATTGTATCACTGCTGTGGGTTAACTGCCTCATTTGGAGTCATTCTTTATAATCAGAACAGGCGTCTCATAATTGAAAACATAACTACTCTACAGCAGAGATCTGTGACTAACCCATGAAGTCATTCAATTTTGTACCAATGTGTCACTGCACTATAACCAATTACCTTCTGCCTTCTAATTTTCTGGAAAAGATATCTCAACCAGTTAAGGTCAATGAGATATGTATGCCTTACAGGCATTATTTTAGATACTTCATTAGATATTTCATTACTAAACAACCATGAAAAAAAAAATTGGATTTCTTTTGAGAGGTCAAATAGGTAGCAAATTATATTAATTGGGCATCTAGCTGAATTTTAAAAACCCAATCTAGAACATCTGTAGTAGTATGGTGAAGATTTTAAAGGCCACACTCAGCAACAATTTAAGCAGGTGCAATACTTCCTTGCATATGGAATAGCTGGAAATGTTTTTAGCAGATGCTGCCAAACATTGTTCTGCCTTTGCAAAAGAACTAAGGGAGTTCATGCTGGAAACCCATAGGCACATGTGCTAAACACTTTCAGTGGGACAGCTGAATACGTTTTCACTTCTGCATGATAGGTTACAAGATAGTGGTTTCAATCTTCTTTCTTTCCAATTTAAACCCAGGCAATTTCTCTTTGCTACAGGTTATATTTTAAGATCTTGTGAAAAATATTAAAAATCAACTACTCGAGAGTGTCTTACTTTCTCTTTGGAACCAGATGTCCTTTAGCTCATATCCAGTTCTTTTCTTTCATGTGACTAGGGACTTTTAGTTTGTGTAGCCTAAGAAAGCTTATAACAATAAAGGAGCAAATTGCCCTGGAAGAAGTAAAATATTTTTAGTATTTATTTAGGTCTATGTTTATTATTATGTCTGTATCACCTCTGTGCTTTAACCTTCTTAATAATAAAAGCTTGAGTTCATTTGTAAATTAACTGAATACATAGACAGAATACAGATCAGTAATGCACTCATAAAGGTGTCAAAATTGGCATCATCTGATTCAGCCACATCTACAGAATAATAATGTCTTCTACACAAACAAATTATGTAATTTCTGTTGGTTAGACTTCATTAAAAAAAATATTTCTTAAAGTAGTGGTTTGTATTGGGAGATGAAAAAAATGCTTCAGATAAAATCATAGTCAAATCAAATCTTTGTCATGGACCTAAATTAAGTTTGGACCAGAATACTTTTTGATTCAAAACAATTTGCAAACTTAAAAAGAAAATAAAGGAAGCCTATTTTTGATTTTATGATTTGGTCTGAAGAAAAATTCAAATTATGCACCCCCAGGTAAGTAACAAATTACTCAAAGATCTCTTTGTCTAGGTGACTTCAAGGACCATCAAATTAAGATGGCTTCAAAGTATGTGATGCCACCCAAGTAGGTTGACATACTTATTCCTCTCTGTTATCATGACATCTCTACCCATAAAAATTTGATCCTATCAAATTTGGGAAAGTTTTACCATTCACATCAATAAGACCAGGATATTATACCTGCTATTTCTTGGCTAAATGCTGTGAAGTTTGAAAATCTCAAGTGACTTTCATTGCTGGGTATATACACAGAAACAACTTTTATAGTTTTCAGTTACTGTAGTCTTTCACCTAGTTTCACATTTATATGTTCATATATCCTTGTATAACACCTGAGTATATTTATAGCCATTTTATCAGTTAGGGAAACAGAAGCACTGAAAAGCAAAACAGCTGGCCTAAGATCAAAAAAGATTATAAGACTCAATGGCAAGAAAAAAAAAAAAAAACAAAACCCAGGAACAAACACCTAAATTGGCCACAGTGACTCTTATACTCCAACCACCTGGCAAATTCCCAACTTCATTGCTGCAAGATATTCAGCGTTTGAGATCTATCTTCATTCTTCTGGAAGCCATCAGTGACACAAAACTGAACCCTGGAAACTATCTCTGTAAATGTTTGTCTGTAAATGATTTTCAGAATGGACCAGCAAATTAAACCATCAACCATTTTCCATAATAGAAGACTGGTATGTTTTCAAGTAAGAAGTTACACTTCGTAGTACATACTGAAATTATGAAGGAGCAGTTACCTTCCAAGTGGAAAGTCTCAAACTCTAGAATCACTAGTGACTGTGGTCCCTGATCTATGATATAACTGCAGTTCAAGTTGTCATCATACTGACTAGGGTAGTTAGGAGAGACGATACGACCTGCAGGGCTGGTGAAATTTACTCCACATCCTGCAAACATAAATAAATAAGACACAGTTATAATCCAGGTGATAATATCATTCTGGTTTTGCAGTGAGAAAACCTATAATGTACACAAGGACTTCATCCCTCAAGAGAGTGGTCAAAAAAACCAGGGAGACTAGTATATATGATGGTGGCAAAAGCAGGTCTTACACACACAGAGCAGTGTTTTTGGGAAACATAGGGCCTTCCCACCTACAGCCTCACACAGTACCTTTGCATGTCTTGGGTAAGACCAGGCCATAGCCCCTCAGCCCACCGACCAGAAGGACACAGCACTGCCATTGTTAATGGGTTTGGAGCCTGCACATTTCAAAATCCCTTAGTACAGACAAATGTAGCTGAACTGGATGAGGGATTATTGGGGCACATCAGCAGTTTAGCCGCATTTGAAAATGCCCATGTTAGCCCAAGTGGTATGATTTTTGCTTCATGCCTGACAGCCAGGAGAATGCAGTCTGCTGCAGGGTCATCTCTGGGGTGCTTCGCTATATGCAGAGGCAGGAGAGGTTTGCCACCCAGAACATCTTAAGCACACAGAACTGTTCATTTGCATGGAGCTCCTTCTGATCCCAATGACTTGGGCCTTGGGGTTTCTCTTTATTTTAAGCTACAGGCTTAAAAGCGTGCAGTGCACAGTGAAATGCTGGTATAAGATTAGGAAAGGGCATATGAAGCCTGTGACTGTCTCCACTAAGAGGTTGTTAGTTGTTACTGGCAACATTAGTGCAGAGATAAAAACAAAAGCTGTTTCAGTTCAGAATTCTGTATACTTCAATAGTGTCTTCCTCTAAGCACTTAATTTCTCACTGTTTTAATCTGAATCCAGTGAAGGGAAAGTGGTTTCCTTTGGCAGCATTCTACTAAAAAACCAAACCGACAGCAATCGAGCACTATGTCCTACCCCTCTGGTGGGTTTGACCATCACAAAGCACATGCAATGGTGAAAGAAATGGAGAGGCCCACCCGGAAATGCCACTTGAGCTACATGAAATATAAATACAACAAAGCAAAGCAAAGGCCAGAGCAGGTGGTGAGAAGTCATTTCTTCTCCTGAGAGCCGTTTATGTGAAGAACATGAGCTATGCCATATATAGGAGAAATTACCACAGTTTCAGCATGTGCCTTGAAAAGAAGAACAGAGATAAAAATTCTAAAGGAAAGGCAGATCCTTCTTCCTTTTTAAGAAAATTATAGCTTTAGCTTCCAAGCAGTTTAACTAAAGAGAAATAAATTCTTAACATTTAAAGCCTCTTCATTTCTTTTCGGTACACTGAAAAGGCAAAGGTGGCTAAGAATAACTACAAAGTTATAGCTGCATGGAAGATCTTTGTCAAGTCCAACAGTGGAGCACACAGTAACTCCATTGCGTTCAGCAGGGAAACTCTTCGTTTCAAACACTGGACAGAGACTTCAATGCCTTGTTGGACTAAAGTCTGTGTTACTACAAGCAGATCAAACTAATCCAAAATGGACTAATAGAGCACACATCTGGCTGTAATTTTACTTACTACTTATGAAAGATGCAGAGAAACCTGTCCCAGGAGCATCCTGAGACTGAAAAACTGTAGTTATCACATTGTTTGGAGCAACAACAGGATCAGGAGCTGAACTTCCACATCCTGTGGTTAACAAAGCTGCTTCTTCTTCATCATTTCCTCTCCACACCTGAGAAGCCCAGATTGGAAATGGTTTAGTGCTTTCAAAGTGCAATCAAACCATGCATTCAAGAAGCACATGCAGCTTTAGATAGGTATTTAAGTGAACTCTTTTCAGGTAATTACTTAAACATGTACTTGACGCTCACAGTTTAAGCACTGAATTTCAACACACATAGAAAATGAAACATAGGCATAAATGTTTGATGTTTCCGAGTGCTTAACTAGTTTCCTGAATCAGGATGATTATTGCCAAGGATTTAAAATGTTTCCTTAAGAAAAAAATATTTATTCTAATAATGAATTTATTTTTCATCAATGTCTTTGAACAGGTTTTTTTACTTGTACTTTATATCAAAAATATATTAAAAACAAATAATGTTTGTTTTTTTCAAATAATGTGTCTGAAAGAGGTCTAGTGGAACTAGAACAACCACATGAAATTGTGATTGCTCTAAGCTACCATCCTAGAAAGGGTTAGCCAAGGGTTAGTCTGTAAGAGCAGGCATATGAATAACCTCATTCATCTGGCTAGGTGTTTGAGGCAAAGGATGCTCAAAGGATTAATATAGACAGTCCATGGCCTGGCCAAGATTTTGCAAAGTCACTATTGATTTTGGATTCCTCTTTTTTGGCTGCTCAGCTTGGAATGAATGGAAGAAACTTACACCTGTTCTGTACTTTTTCATATCCAGACACCTTCATACATCTCAAATTGGACATTCAGAAACAGAGGTGGACATCACCAAAAAGTTCAGATTTTTCTCTATGGAGAAAATCTCCAGTTGACATAGTTTTGACTATGTCATTCAGGACAGTTTAGAAATTTGAAATTAAAGCACCTTTGCTGGGTGACATTAAGACTTTCATATTAGTGAAATTTATTGTAACATATGACATCAATTCATCAGTGGAGTAGGCTATGAAAAGACAAATCTAATAGTATTTTTTTCCACAGCCTTAAGAAATGAATGCAACTGTGGTTTGTAAGTCAGTAGGTATGGATCAGATGTACAGCTGCTCAAGTCTTCCTACATGTTGTCAAATTATGTTTGCCCTTTATTTCAAGTGGGAGTTGCACTGCTGTGGAGAAAATGAGCACAAAATCACTGAACATATGCCAAATGCCTGAGAAAAAAATGACACTGTGAAAAATTCAAAGCATGTCCACTCCATTCTATTGCTTTGAAAACAAGTGACTCTTGACAACCTATGAAAGATAAGAATGCTATCTTTGTTTTTTGAGATGAAAAAAAGAAGGATTACTGCGACTTGGACAGTTTATACACGTATAAAGAAGTTTTGTAGAATTATAGGGTCACATTCCTGGTTTTTTACTCACTGGAGTAATTGAAATAGTCTTTTCATTACACTATATTTTCTCATTATTTCCTTGTTCTGAAGTCATATGTACAGTTTTCATATATTTCATTTTGGGGGCAGCATGTAGGATGATGAGAACCTGCTGGAGGTGGAGCCTCATGAACAGATAAAAATTAAAAATATGTACAAGCCAGTTCTCAAGGCATATAGAAAATTGACTGTATTGGTACATTCAGTTTATATTTCCTGAATTTTGTGCCTCAGCAATCCTAATCATGACATGATTGCAAAACAGGATTCTGCAATCATGACTTCTTAAAACACTGCTCTGCTATCTAATGCCAACAATTATTTTACCTTCACATAACTGCTCTGGCAACTTCCATTGCTATCTGGGATCTGGAAGTTACTGTGGAAGTTCATCTCCAAGTGTTTGCTTTCGTGCGTAATGATGGTCCATGTGCATCTGGTGTTCACAGGAAAGTTTTGAGGCCAATGAGGAGACTTAATCATACCGTTATCTGAATGAATGATTCCACCACATCCTGGAAAAAATAGCAAGAGGTGGGAGAAATATTCAAATATGTCCTGTTGGTGTCAGCTTTGATTTGCTGCTTGCTTCTGTGGCTGCAAGAGTGAGAGAAGAAAGCCATGGCACCCATTCAAATTTCATTTTCCCTTCTCTTTTGTTTAATTTTCCTTCTTTCACCCCTGCAGCAGGGAGATAGTTACACTCTAGAGAAGGTCTGTCTTTGTACTTTACTTTCTCTTCTTCACAAGCTCCTTCTCCTTGCCAATTCATACCGGTTTTGCTCTGGCCCATCTATATGCTGCTGACAATTAGGACTATTGCTCACATAGAGAGTAAGGGTCAGAAATACATTAATGAGGAGCTTCTCCCGAGACTGTGCAGGTTCCTTCCCACACCTCGCAGCATGCACATCATGACTGACAGCCATTCAGAGAAGTACGCTGGGGAAAAAAAAATCAATCTACTGCTGAATCCTTGTTTTTCTCACTCTGCAACATGTTAATAATGCAGTTCCACATGTGAATCTACTCAAGCTACATCCATTTACCCAGAGCAAAATGGTGACTTCTCCTCCAGCCCAGGCAGCTCTGTGTATCTTGGTTGGATTATGGAGAGGGCTGAAAAACATGCCTTTAAAAATTGTTAACAGATTCATTTATAAGGGGGAATGGCTGGCTATGGCTCTGTGGCAGCTCATGTTCTTAGACATAATAAGTTTATTTAATTTGAAACATACTTGCAAATACCATGCCAAGAATGATTTACTAGGGCTATGCACACAGTACTAGCAACCCATTATTATTTCAGTGATAATGTAGTAAAAGGATGAATAAAGAGCAAAAAAACCTTTGTAACAGTCTACTTTTTTTTTCTTAATTAGAAAATACATATGAGCTTTAAAACGAAGGTTTTAGTTTTCATTCTTCTATGTTAGATAATGGTTCTTGTGTTTAGAAGGATATAAGGCCAAGTTTTGCTCACACGTACAGAATATAAACCCAGAGATTCTCAGTGGACGAATAAGAAGAAAGCTGAGAAAGGACACCAGGTATATAAAACAAAAGAAATCTCCTTTCACAGAGAGAATATCAACTGTGCACATTGCATGTGTATGCCAATGTCTGCTACATCATTGAGGAGTGGCCTTCCTTGCACATGAAATTCCAGTGACAATAGGGAAAATGTCAAAAACTTGCTGAAGTGACAGTGTGTATTCACGCAAGCACAGACTATTGATATGTTTAAGAAGACACTCCATCAATTGACTGTGTGAACTAACTGATGATCACTAGATCACTAACTGATGGAAAGCTGATCAGCATCAGCCAGAAGGTTTACAGCCAGAGGTGACACTAGGGAACACATTTCCAGGTCTGCAGTGAGGTAGGAAGGCACAATGAATTCTGTCCTGCCACCAGCCAGCACCCCTACACTTGCCTTTGATCATCTCCTGAAGGAAAGTCTGCAGATGGTGAGCTACCTTTTTCAACAGAGGGAAGGTAGCTTTTTAAAATGCACCAATTCAATCCTGCATGTGCACCATCTTCAAAAGTGTACCATCTCTGCTAAAGTAGAAGAGGTTTAGGCTGTTGTCACATGTGCTCTTTGAGAAGTTCTGTCTGCCTCTCCATTTTGAAACCAACCTCTTTCTGGTTTTAAGTGTTTAAACCAAATCAAACTGTGAAACAATTGTTATTCAAGAAATAAAATGTCTCATAGTCACTGACCATAGATACCACTGCTGGGAGGATAATGAGCATGCTATCAATTTACAGACATCAAGAAACTGCAAGTGGGAGGCTTAAAAAGTACAAAATCCGTCCAAATTTGATTTCATTGTGTGAGATCAGACAACACTGGTTTAATACTTGACTTTTTTCATGCTGGTTTCTCTCAGGAATGCTGAAGATGTTGGCATGTATTTCTTTTGTTCTTTAATGCAAACTTATTTAAAGAGGAGGAATCCTTTTTAATTTTGTGGTTGGAAAGTGCTATATAGGCATGATGTACTGCTGTGTTAAACCTGACAAAATCAGTACTTCTTCACTTACCTAGAGATTCTGCTGTCCATGTTGCATAAAAGCCACCTCCTTGAATTGAGTGATCAGAGTTAAAGATGATGACTAGCTTGCTGGAACCAGACCGAATAGTCCCAGGGGATGTGTTTCCACAATACTTTCCTACGACAGGAGACCCAGGAGAGCCGCCATTCAGGATGGTAAGAGAGTCCCACTTACAAAGCGAATGATTTTCAATGTGGAAGGCTGTAAAAGTAAGCTGCAACAAACAACAGTGACATTCATGAGCTAACACCAGTCACACCAGTGGAGGGGTTAGAGCAATTCCATCCAGATCCTGTAGCCATCCTAGCACAATGATTTCTGGGTATGCTCAGAAATCCAAATCCAACCCTTACTTCACCTTGATGCTTTGCAGCAAGTATTGCTTGGAGTCTTGTCACTACAGGTAACAGCAGCTTCTTAGCATGAAGACAGAAACGGAAGAGGAACACACAGGTTCAAAACTGGCATTATTGGGATTTAACCATATGTTTGAACCTTATGTATATGCTTCAAAATGGTCTTGAAAATGCGCAGGTGTTGAACCACTTTTCTGCTCTTAAGGCTTCTGGTCAAGAAATCTGAAGTTGCACATTCAAATATAAGTAGCTATGTAAGCAGAAAGCCTTGGATTTTTTTTTCTTCCTATTATTTTGAATCAGAATGCTTAACAGTTGCTAAAAATAATGCTAGTTTCCATTAAATCTGAGAAAAACAGTTGCATGGTTGGTTCCTGTGGGCCTGGATGCATCACATAAATAGACTGGGCTGGGCAGGCAGCTTCTGACCCTGTCTCCCTCCCACACCGACACCATTTGTCCTTGGAGGGATATACACACGGGTGGGACTTCCAGTTCAAAGATTTAGATTGCTGATCCAGTGGACTCCTGGGTTTGTTGATGTTGAAATACTGATGTATACTAATGACTGCTTGGCCCTCTTCCAATATGGGGTCTTTTTTGCCAGTTGCAGGATTGGGATATTTGTAGAAAAGTTTAGCAAATACAGAGTACTTCTTCCTATAACTTTTGTGTGTATTCATTTCCAAAAGAACTCTGCTTGAGGCAATACAAATTTAGCTCAAATGGTTTAAGTTTGGAACTTTACCAGCAACTGAAACTGGCAGCTTTTACTGGAAAAGGTTACTCTGCCTTCACTGAGGGGGCTGCTACTCAGTCCTTTTAAAACAGCAATTTACTTCCATCTGATTAAGATTAGTTCTGCTTTAAACAAATTTGTGGATTAAATAGAAATTTTGTGTTCTACTAAAATAATCCTGTATTCCCTGAAGTAAGTACCTATGCAGTGGTCAGAATATCATGCAGCAGAATAATTAAGACTATGGGTTTGCACTTCTAAAAAAATACCTTTGTAGTTGTAAACAAGGAAAACATGTCAGGGAAATTAGGAAGAGACATTACATATGAAAATCTGCAATGTGTTTTTGCAAAATTGCTCTTCGAATATTTTTCTGACCTGGACCTCAAATGTCATTGATTGGACCTGTTCTCCAAAGGATCAGTCAAATAATTCAGTGTGGAGTTTAGCACTGCTTTGTCATAAAGGTGCTTAAATTGGTCTTCCAGCAGTTTGGATCAAGAAAGTAGCACCTCAGGCAGCCCATTAATAGTTATTGGGAAATAAGGGTAGTATCTATCTCATTGATGTAATTTGTACCAGCAACTATATTATCTTCCAGACTAACTATTAAGACACAAAAGTAACTCTCTAGTGGGTTGTAACTTTTCCGTAGAGATGAAAAAACTTCAGCCTCATATTTATTCTTATGATAATGACAATATCCATGCACATCTAATAACATGAGTTATTTTAGTTTCCTAAACACAGAGGGTCATTGTTTAAAGGAAAAGTTGGTGCTATGTTTTGACGTCAAGTTAGACTAGGATCCTTCTTTTCAAAAAGCACAATCTAGTTTGGTTGTGTTATCTTCGGTCCCCCTCTTCCCTAGGTAAGGACAATTGGGAGATATTTCATCCCTCCACATTTCTGCTTTTCCAAATTGTCTCAAACCTGTTCCTCAAGATTCAGTGTGCTTCTCGCACTGCCAGCTGCAGACACAATCATGGCATTGTGTTACTCACAGTGATGGTTTCACCTTCAGCGGCTTCCAACAACCAGGAGCAGCGATTCAGGTTGCTGTAAGGCTCTGGGTAGTTAGGACTTGAGACAACTCCCCTTTCACCTGACTGTATACCACCACAGGCTGAAGAAAAAAAGTAATGTTTCAATACATTTTAGGAACTGAACACTGTAAGTAAATGATTGGAAGATTATTCAGCTTGTAATAGTATCAAAACATATTTAAGTTGGACTGATATAGGTAACGATGAACAATTTATCTGGGAAAATCCACATTTTAGAAACTTTGTCATTGAATAGTGAGTAAATAGATGCAATGACCTTGAAACTTTGCATTTATTCTGATACTTAATATAGCTCTGCAAAACCTTTGCCAGCTGACACTTCTACCTTATCTTCCATTTATTTATCTCAGACTCCTAAGCAAACCAGTGCCATTCTTGGAACAACACAATCAAGTCAAAAACTTGCTGATGTGTCTAGATAAGCACCAAGGCTAAATTCAGCTGTGATAGGAAGAATAGTTGTGCTGGCAAAGTGGTGTAATTATTTGCACTGATACAGCTTTAAGTGGATTTCAAAATGAGTGCAAAGGTTCAAGCATCAGAATGCATTTCAGCCATGCTAGCACTCCGGAGGCCTATTTGAAGTAAGTCTTGGCTGGTGTAACCCGTTACATCCCTATTCCCAAGAGCAACCAGCTGTTCTGAGTGTTGCACTGCATTGCAAAAACTCAAATGCGGTTCAGGGAATGGGGCAGAAAATAAATCTGAAAGTTCAATTGCTAGCATATGTTTGCTTTAGGTGGACATAAATATTGGCAGGCACTGTGTAACTTTTGAGGATCTCTTTGAGAGCTGATCCCATAGTGTGTATTCCCAGTATCATCAAATGAATGACAACATTCCTCAAAAGTGCCTCAGTCAGCAAGGGCGACATTCTATCAAGGCATTTACCTTCAAATGTGTAATGGGCCAAGAATCCTTTATCTTCTGTATTTTCATCACTTACAAAGTGTACCCAGATCTGGGGGGCAGCTATGACTAGTGGCACAGATGGTGCAGCCTGACCACAAAGTCTGGCTATTAGCTCTCCATCAGCATCCCCTGAGTAAAGAAAGAAAAAAATACACTTTCTGAATCCTAAAAGAGCTATAATAATGTAAAGGAAGACATAGGGCAAACATGCATGTCATTTTGTTTTGACTAGAAAACAGAGAAAAGTACATATTGTGATTAACAACTGATTATGGGTATAGGTGAAGTGCTGCAGTTCATTGCTGGGATCTAAATCTTGATAATGAGGAAGTTCCCTCCAAAGCTGTATTAATGATCCGTTTAATATCTTGGGCTGCTTCTCTCCCCTTCCGGCCATCCTGCACACTTTCATTTTGTATGACCCATTAGACCCGGAAACACAGAAGGTGCCCCAAAACAGCAGACAGTGAGAAGAGTTGGCCCAAGGACCTGATCGCATCCTCATTAAAATCAACAGGGATTTTGAGTTTTCTACCATATAGGGATGTGCTTCATCCATGAACAAGCTGGCACTGCTTTATTAATAGTGGGCATCTCTTTCCTAGGGAGCCCAACATACTGTTCTCTGTATGGCAAAAAAATGCCAGCATTTGTTCAAATCATTGAAACCTAAAAGGAAAGCACAACGCAGGCAGCTGCACTTCTGTGAAACTGAATGTTTGCTCATGTTGGTATAAGCTCTTATCCATCACACTGGTCGAGGTATCAGTTTCTGTCTATTACTGATATATTCTCAGGAGAAGGAAAATAAGTGTAATAGTGTTCCTCACAACATTCAGGCAATACCATTCCTAAGTTTGCTTCTCTAATAACAGCAGGCTGCTGGTCTTAAAAGTTTCCATTCAACAGCAACTCCTAGCTCCATGCAGAGAGGCAGGCTCTTTTTGTGAAGAAGGCAGTAGAGCAGGAGGGAGAAACTTTGGGCGCTCTTCAAAGCCCTTTCACAGTTATTCCAAGTAACATGGCTGAGTAATTTCATCTTTCCATGATATACAGTGACACAGCCATCATTTCAAATGTCTTGAAGCACAGGGATAAAAGGCGACATATAGTAAAATTCTATTCGTGTAATTTACACAAATGCTAAAACCTGTCTTGTTAACATGCACTAAAAATGATACTGAGCTGTACAAGCAGAAGACAATCATGATAAATTACAATTTGGGAAAAAATAACTACTTTGAGCATTAAAATGTGAAGTGTACTTTTTCTTTTTTGCACTTCTTACAAGGTGATTGACTATGTGACAGATGTGACCCAGGTTACTCAATCCCTACAATGTGAAAAGTGACACCAATCACTGCTTTCATGAATGGCCAGTTGGCCAGAGATCTAGACCGTTGATAAACAAAAAAAGTAAACAGAAAGATTGTGCTATAAGATTTGGTTGAAACTGAAAGGAAAGGTCTGAAAAGACAAAATCAAGACTCTTCCATAAAAGCCAAAAGTTAGGAGTATATTTCACTGTAGAAATATGCTCAGCTGTATTACCATGTACATACTACATGCACATGCCTGATAACTTAATAACTTAATATAAACCCTTACCCTAAGAAATTTGAAATATTTATTTTGTTCATTTACATTAAATATTTCTCAATTTGTCAATTCTAGTGACCCCCCCTTCAGTACCATTAAGTGTGTTGTATGGGTAACTCAAAAGAATTTTACAAATCTCAGCTTCCTTTGGGGTCTCTCGGGTAACTTACTGTTGAATTGGACCTTGCCCCAAATTCACATCTGCTCTGTTGAGAGTCTTAAACAGCACCTGCCTGAGTTCAGTGATATTCTGAGCTATTTACATCTCAGTGCTCATTAAATGTTACTTGTCAGCATACACACCTGAATTAGGGCATTCTGCCTTTGACATGAAGATTAATTAATATGGTCAAAATGAACATTACTATTTAGATAACAAAACTGTGTAGAGCAAAATAAGACTTCATTTTTTTTCCTCTTTCCTTTGATTGTATTGCCTGGCGGTCTGAGGTTCACAATAAAGTGAGAGTAGTGGGAACTGATGAGTAATGGACCAGATATATTTTATTATTTCTTTCTCTGAGTTCTCTTTCTATTATTTTGCAGTTCCATTGCATACGTGGGAGAGAATTGTTAGGCTATGCAGCTATGCATGCTTTGGCTCTACAAAGGACAAACTGCTGGTATACAACCCAGAGCTCTCATTCAAATGAATGCAAATAAGATGTAACAGATTCCTGCTCTCAACATTGTTCCCCGTCCCCCCCTCCTCCCCTCTCCCCCCCCTTTCAGAAATTATTTCCTGGTAAATTAGAACCTGCTCTCTCTGGGACTCACAGATACAGCCTCTCAGTGAAGAAGACAGCTGGAGCTTTCATACTACACTTGGCATTAGCTGAGTGACTTTCATATGACATTTCCTGTTGCTTCTTGCAGAGAGATAAAGATACTCAAATATGCAGAGATATTACTGGTGCATTAATCCTGTGATTGTTTTCCTTTTAAATGGTTTAGCCTGTATTTTGTGATGCAGTCTCACAGGAATTATGGATTTGGTTTTGGAGAATCATCTTACAGAGTACAAAAGTGGGGTATGAAGTGAGTATGGAGCCCTGAGCCTATGAATAATTAAAGCATTCTTTACTCCACTCCTGCTGTCCCTGGAGATATTTTAGGAGCAGAGAGGGAATGGCTATGGACCAAATAAATTGTTTTGATGACTCCAACTTCCTCTGACTGCCATCTTTCAAGGGAGATGAAATGAAATTCTTATTGTACCTTGTAAAGAGAGAGTCAGGTATGTTTTGCAACCACCAAAACAATTCATCCCCCAAAGACACCTGTCCGGTTTTCCATTTTCTCCCCTGAAAGAAAGGGTGATCAAATCCATACATCCATTGCTCTGGCAGTGAAATCCCACTCCTGGTCTGGGAGGCAACATGGAAGGCATGCATGTGAACACCCTCTCAAATGTACAGACCCTACAACAATTGCTCTCTGCAAATATATCTGAACAAGATTTGGCACAAACACAGTTGCACAACTGGAATCTTGATAGGCTTAATCCATTCTCCCACTGAACATACAAACCTATTCGTAACTCCAGGTAGTCATACTGGCAGTCCTGGTGATGTTCCAAGTGGAAATCCTCAAAAGAGATATATATGGATGAATTATAGTGGGAGGGGTTTTCAATGGTCCATTCACAGTTCAAGTTACTTGTGTAATTTTTTACACCATCATAACCAGGAGAAGAGAAATTGCCACCTGCATATCCCATCAGGGTTCCACCACAAACTGCAGAAACAAAATATATTTTATTTAAAAATAGTAATAATTCTTGTATGAAGAGAAATCTTGTCCCTGTCTATTCTGATATGTGCACGTCAGCAAGCATATGTACTGTTTAGATCAAAACTTTTTCTATCTTCTTCCTTTTTTATAATTTACTGCTGTGTACAAGAGAATTCTTGCCTAGTGTCCAAAAATTTATTGATGAGTTTTTAAAAACACATGTGTAAAGCAAAGAAACAACAATTATTCACGGTATCAAATAAAATATTTCAGCAGCAACATCAATACAACAAGCATTATTTAACATTTTGACAAAATTGCACTGCAGCTCCAGTTCAGTAATGCTCAGCCCTACCCATTACCTAATTCTAGATTCAAGAGAAGATTTTTCTGGAACATACCCTCAAGAGCAGTACACTCATGCTACAGTGGGATGCATTGGGGGGACTTGGAAAATCAAGTTCGGAAGACCCAAGGCTGTAGCAGTAAGGCTCTGCCAGCTGCCTCCTCTCTGGAGGCTGTGCTTGCAAAAGTAGGTTAGCTGCACTCTTTCACAAGCTACAATAAATTAATTAACCCCCTGAGTAATAAGGAAGCACTTGAATTATTCAATTTGTCTATGGCACTATGCTTTTTGAATCTTTTTCATGGAATAAGGCCACTTCAGACCATCTCTTACTCAAGACTAAGTACAAAACAATAAATCAGTAGTGAGAGTAAGGACTGTGATCCATAATAGAAGTTGTTCTTTCCATTTGAAGTTTAACATAACAGGCACAAGAAGTCTGTAACTCCCAGAGATTCCCCATTTGTTCAAGTCCTTTCAATTAATTAAAGATATATATCTACTCCCATCCAGAGATGTAAGAGAGAAAAAAAGTTATCAGAGATTTGTTATCTATTTAGGTCATTTTTTTTTACATGTGCCAGTACTTTAGCTATGAAATGACTCATCGCAGATCAATCACTTTTAATTAAAAAACATACACTACCTGCATCTTCACTAGATGCGTATGAGACACTGAAGCCTCTGGTTGCATGGGACATATCTGTCACCAAAATGACTTTCATTGTGTTTCCAGAGGATTTCACTTCAGTGCCTGGATTTACCTCACCACACAGCTTGGCCAGCCGGGGAGAGTTCTCTCTGAGGCCATTGTAAACCTGTTGGGTCAAAATAAACTCTTATGAGATCAAAATACAGTCTTAGGAGAATCTCCTGTATGATTTAACAGCGCTTTACATCTTCAATACAAGGGTCATTGATGTCCCTCACAGCAGGTTAGTTCCCAAATCTACTCAAAACCTTGGAACAAACTTGCATTGCCCTGAGTGGATGAGGGTCTGAAGTAAAACATTAAAAATACCTTGCTTATTTTGGCAAAACACAAACATATTCCCTCTCTCAACCAGAAATTAAAACAGTTTTATTAGGAAAAATAGTGTATTTGTGCTCAATATTTATATCTTCAGTCACTTAATAATGCCAGCTACTGATGATATGCATTACATATCCAATGATTCTCTTTGTATTCTTGTTAAAACTAACATCAGCTTTATTAAAATCTCCTCCAAAATATTCAGTGCTGGTAGGCATTTTTGATTAATTCAAACATTTCACTTTTTGTTGATTCAGATGTATTTTGTTCAGTTTCTTTCATACAGCCTTTACCCTAGGAGTTAATTTCCTTCTTTCTACTACTATCTCAGCAGTGCAAGCGAGGCAGAAACAATTTTTCCCACTGAGATTTGGAATATGTTAGAGTGCTGAAGGCACAAAAGCTGGCAGGACAGATCTTCCTTTAAGAGATCATTACTTCATTAATCAATAAAAAGCCAGCTCCCTGTGGTCTGTCTAAAGCATCTGTGAAGAAAAACAAGGAGATCATCTACGAATCACAAGGGAGAGCTACTTCACCCCCTCACACTCATGCGTGGGCTAGCTTCTGATCATACTACAGCTAATTCCAGTGCTTGCACTGCTAATCTGAACAAATGGGAAACAAAACTAGATCTCACATTCCTGCAATTTCATAGAGGAATCGTATTTTTGAGGCATTTGTACATCTGACCAGGTCTAGTTCTGTGTGCCAGATTTGATTTTTTTTGCACTAAATAATCAAAAGTCTAAAATAACCATGATAAAATAACCAAAATCTATCTTTTTGGAGATGGGGGGGGGTGATAAAGAGGTAGAATTTCCTGGGGTTTCCCTATCTTTCTTTCAGAATATGCAAGGTCTAACACATAGTAGCCATTTGTTGCAATCTGGCTTTTTCTCTTTCTTTTTATTTTATTTTTTTTAATTGACAACAATAAGTAACAACAGCAGTAGCAACCTCCAAAGTCAAAAGAGACCTGGAGCTCACTGATGCACTTTGTATCCACAGAGAAGAGACATTGAAAGCTTTCAAAAACCCCAGAGCTTTTTTCAATAATTGATAAAGAGCCAATTCCAATGATTTCTTCAAGTCCTCCCCGCTGTCTGGACCATAATTAAAACAAGCAGATGAGTTTAGACACCCTACAGTGCTAACTTTCTCTCATTTATCTGTTTTCCCCAGATTAAATTATGATTTGTCTTAAAACCAGATGTAGACCTGTAAATGACATTTCAGCTCTATTACATCCATTAATGCTCCATAAAGGGATTAGGAAGAGCAATTTCTGCCTTCACGCCCAATACTCACAGCCACATAATCTGACAAGCACCTCCAGTGTTCTTCAGTTTTCATATCATTAAAGGTTAGAGTCACACGTCGGCCTTCTTCCACTGTGATCCTCCATTCACACACTCGATTATGTGGGTATAGGTTAGGATAGTTGGGTGAAGTAAATGTTCCAACAGGGGCAGTAAAATCCCCACCACATTCTGAAATACCCAAATATTGCGATGCTTCTTAGAGTAAAGAATTGCTTATAGAGTTATAGCAAAAAAACCTTTAATAATGCAAGTGTCCTGGTTTCAGCTGAGAGGATTGATTTTTCTTCATAGTAGTAGCTAGTGTGGGGATATGTTTTGGATTTGTGCTGGAGACAGCATTGATAATATAGAGATGTTTTTGTTCTATGGATTTATTGTTGAGCAGTGTTTACATGGGGCCAAGGCCTTTTCTGCTTCTTGCACTGCCCTGCCAGCAGGATGGCTGGGGGGGCACACGAAGTTGGGAGGAGACACAGACAGGACAGGTGACCCAAACTGACCAAAGGGATATTCCATACTATATGACGTCATGCTCAGTTTATAAGGAGCTTGGGAGAAGCGGGGAAGGGGGGGTGGCGGTGTTCAGAGCAATGGCATTTGTCTTCCCAAGTAACTGTTACGCGTGACGGAGCCCTGCTTTCCTGGAGATGGCTGAACACCTGCCTGCCCATGGGAAGTGGTGAATGAATTCCTTGCTTTGCTTTGCTTGTGCACGCAGCTTTTGCTTTACCTATTAAACTGTCTTTATCTCAACCCACGAGTTTTCTCACTTTAACTTTTCCAATTCTCTCCCCCATCCCGATGGAGAGGGAGTGAACGAGTGGCTGCGTGGTGCTCAGCTGCCAGCTGGGGTAAAACCACGACAGCAAGAAAAAGAGCTCCTGAGAGCTTGATTTGATATGCCTGTCCTGTCCATATGTTTGTCTAAACAGCTATGTTCCTGCCAGTCTTTATCACTTGGCCATAAATGTAGTTGAATGTTAATTAACCATAGCAGCTCCATTTAGTCTAATTATCAATATTCTTCCTCTGAAGGCCTCATACCAGGCTTCAGAAGCCTGAGTGACCCACAGAATTTGATGTTAAGCAATACAAGCCTCTCACTGTGGCTGGATTGAGACCTTTCTGCCTTTCAGATGAGTGGGCAGAGCTACACAGAATGAGCAGGGTCTTAGAGTGAGTAATGATGAGGGATGTGTTTTTTCCTCTGCTTGTTAACAGAGGTAGGGAAAAAGCCTTTAGGGATTTTAAGCAACACTTTTCCAGTACAGTTATTTTGTGGTTTTCCTATCTTTGTTATGAATATCAAATTGTGCTCTGAGGAAAGAACACAATCCTGGGCAACTTCCTCTGCCTGACCCTGCTTGAGCAGCGGGGTTGGACTACCGCATCTCCAGAGGTCCCTTCCAGTCTCAATGGCTCAGCAGTTCTGTAATTCTGCTTAAAACCTACTGGTTAAAAACTACTGGCTTTAGGATGACTTAAGAATACAACTCACCTCAGAGTGACAGAACAACATAAACCAAAATCACAGCATTTCTTTACCTTCCTCCTCATCAAGAGAGATGTGGACAGGGTATGTTAGGACATCCTGGACTGATTGCTGGAGAGAAAAGGTGTGGAAGTGTGCTTCATTGTGTGAGACCTACCACTGATGGCAACATCCATTATAGCAGGAGACTGCTTGCCTCTCAAAGTTTCAGCTTGGCTAAGTAGTGATCAGAGAACTCTATTCATACTTCCCCCAGAGTTTAAATTTAAGAGCAAAGACACACCACTCCAAGAATAAGTGAATATACGCTGTACTAGTGCAATTATGGTCTGTGGTATATGTTAAAATAACTTGCAGCCTTACAAATCCAACCTTCAGAACTGGAATCGAAGCGCAGTCTGAATCCCCGGGCATTGACTGATCCATCAGTGACAAACTTGACATAAGCAAAACTGTCAGAGGTGTCCACAGCATCAGGGAGAGTATTACCACAGTACTTGCCCAATAAATTTCCTGCAAAAATCAAATACAGAAAGACAATTTTATATTAATATATTATTTATATTT